AAATCTTTATATGATTAGCTGAAAATGTACTTTGGTTAGCTTTCAAGGTCGCTGATTACGAATCCGAGGTCCAAAACTCATTGTTCAAGATTGCAGATTCAAGTTGGCGGATCATGGCTCAATTCTAATATATTTACCTGACATTGTCTTTCGGTTAGTTCTTTTTTCATATTTGCAGCCGCCATACTGAATCCGCCATCTTCAATTTTGAAAATCTCATAACGGATTCGTCATCAGCGATCCCAGAAACCCCCGTATATAAATTTTCATGTGATTCGGATTTTCTGAAAAATACGTGCCTCAAAGGGTTAACCATCTTACTCTTTTATCTCTCAAATTTAACTAAAATTCTCTAACAACTTATGTTTCAACTGTCGCCTGAGAAATGTCCCGGAAATAGTTATTTTGCATCTGGCAACCCTACGCATGGGGCGAAAAGTGCGAGTCCCAAGGATAATCGGCCGAGTTCCGCCGAGAGAGACGCGCGTCCTCTCGGTCACCGTCGTGAGCTACGTCGATGTCCGGCGTCTGGCGTCCGACGGCGGGATCTCGAGCTCGCGCGTAAACTTGTCCTGTGAGAGAAAGAGAAAGAGAAAGAAACGGACGGGGAGGAGGAGAAAGAGGGTCCCAAGTTCGCGAAATCTCATTTGCCTTTGAGATTTTATTGCATCTTTGCGGAGACGCCGAGTTATAATTTCATCATACACAATGGCTCGCGATTATTCGTACATCCGAGCCATATTACGCAAATCAGAGCCGGCGCTCAACGTTCGAGTTAGCGCGGCTTGCCCTCCTCCTCCTCGCCTCCTCGCCCGGCGCACCTCGCTCCATTAATAGAAATTAATCGACGGTGCTTGCAAAATCCAGCGTTCGCGACGGCCGAGCGGAGAGGAAAGCCGAAGAAGAGATTTCGTACGCATCGCGGAAGGTTCATCCGACGTTCCGTCGACAGGCGAGCGAGCAAACGCGGCAAGGAGTATTCCTCAAACATTTTTACGCGTCAAGGAGCACTCTCTCTCTTCTCTCTCTCCCTCTTTCTCTCCCTCTCTCTCTCTCTCTCTCCCTCTCCCTCTCTCTCTCTCTCTCTCTCTCTCTCTCTCTCTCTCTCGGCGTTCTCGTGGCGAGGTTGTCAGAGTCTGGATCACATCGGCGCACAGTGTACGTTTTTGGAAAATCGCTCGCCAGCATAAAACTCAACCAATCTTAGTTAGAGGTATTGCGGAAAATTGGGTACTTACGAACCTAACCTATAAGAAACATATATAATCCATATGGGATAAACACTCATAAACTTAAGAATCTTGTAACCCAAACATTTAGTTAGAAACCTCAATCCATAAAAATTCTGAAATTCTCGAACGTTAAACTCGAAAATTTCCTCGCTTAATCCCAAATCACGAAACCCTCTGACTCCGAAACCTTTCAACCTTCCAACTTTGAGTGCTCAAACCTTCGATCCTTATGTTGTAATATTCCAGTGGGATCTTATTGTGGAATCGAATCCGTGAATGCATACTATGCCATCATGAGGTTTAGGTAATGATTTGACTGCCTTTTGTTCCATTGTTACATTTCATCATTCACCCTAGAATGGTATCATAAATACGAAAGTAATTTCAATTACAGATTAATCAGCATGAAAATATAGGTAGACTTGGAAAAGTCTAAGGCTCTAATATTGTAAATATTAAAAAATATGTTTTTTATAGGTTAGGTTTATAAGTATCCCATTTTCCGCAGTACTTCGTTATTGCTGGAGTTTCTCCCTGTATTTAACAAGAAATTCATCAAAATTGGTTGATTTTTATGCTGGCGAGTGATTTTTGTCCAAAAACGTACACTGTGCGGCGTCGAGGATATCGCCGTGTTTTAACGCACTTGTTAGTCGCCGAGAATCTCGCAGAAATTGTTAAGGATATGGCCGCGACGTTAATATCCCTTTGTCACCTCTGTTATTTCCTACCGCCGATATTATTATTACGGCAGAATTATCGTCGCGTCGAGATTGGTTAGATCGGCTCGGAGATCGCGCGAGCGATTCAACCGGGGGTGAGGGGAAGGGACTTTTGTTACGGGTTGCGATGGACATAAGCAGTCAAGATTACGTTCGCTCGGCAGTAGCGAGTGAGTGCTTATTCACGTAATTTTGCGCTTGCGATAATTAGTCGATAATTCCTGTATCACGTGTGTATGTTTGCGCTTATCTAGCGGCGTGTCGAATGGACGGCTCAGATTTTGGCTCGGCCGACTTTGCCGATTTCTTCATGGCGAGAAGAAATTGTTGCTGTGGAGAGGAAAAATTGATAACGACGATTGGAAAACAAAACGGTTTCGACAGTTCTTTTTTTTCTAGTGACATTGGTGATCCGTGAAGTTGTGAATTTGAGAATCACTGCTTAACCAAACTGCGCAAACCAAAAAATGGTCTCTCCAACCCCAATTATGCGTTGAGGTTAGAGCAGTGTTTTTCAACCGGTGTGTTGCGAAAATTTTCAAAGATCATTAGTTAAATTATTTTCGAAAGCAGTTTAAAGCACAGTAAGTATACACATCAAAATTAAAACCACTTTAAATTGATTCATATGAATATATCATTGTTATAATAAATAAACATCGGCTTATTTCTAAAATGGGTGGGATGTAGCCTTTATTACAAATTATAATAAATTGTTTCGTTTTATTTTTTGGGCGTGATGATGCATTTTGTCTGTGTTAATAAATAAATCAAAAAAAGGTATATTCTTTCTCATACTCTCTTTATCAGCATAATTTAAGTGTGCCGCGGAAGTTTAATTACAGGTTCAAGTGTGCCGTGAGATAAAAAAGGTTGGAGAACTGGGTTAGAGAGACACACACATACACAGTTGGAATTAGAGAGACTTGCGATCTTTTGGTCCTTGAGCAGTGATTCTCAAATTTTACAACTAGACTAGTTACTAACGTTTATAAAAAAAAAAAAAAAAAAATTGTCGAAACCGTTTCTTTTTCCAGTGTACGTGACGTTGAAACAGATGAGCGTCGCGAACTCCGCGGCAGAGACGCTGAATCGGTCGCGCCGCGCGAAGGAGCGGGACCCGGCGGCCTCTCTTTCTCCGATTGACGAGAGATCTGGCCGATAATTCACGGCAGAGGTGTGACTATAATCTCCGCGTTCGATTCGATTCGACTCGCACGCGCCAGGCACCACGAAAGTCTCTCTCGCGAGCGACATTCGCGCGTGGTGACAAGGAACTTAATAGCTGATCTAGAAATACAGGTTTCGCGCGACGTGCGGCTCTTAAAGCTCTTAAAGATCGATTATCATACATATAGTCGCGAGGTGTTTGGGCCGCAGTTAATACCGGTAGCCATACAAGTCGTTCCCCGCGTCGCCGCTCCGCTCCTTTCCGCGCGGAAAAGCGCGGAGGGAATGTCCGAAGAGGTAGCGAGACCAGCCGGCCGCGACGAACGTAAATGATCGTCGCGTACCTGAACACCCGTCGCGGCTCCGACGAGCGCTGAGCTACGCGAAATCTCGTGCTGCTTTCGCGGAAATGGTCGTTCTCCACGAGCCGCGGCGCGGTAGTCCTTCGCCGTCAGCGCGATGAATGAACCGCGTGAGGAACCGCGGCGAGACTTCGATGCTTTCGCGTCACTGATGGAAAGGAGTCGGTTCCCGTGCGACTGATTTTCCCTCGCCGGAGGGTCGGACGAAAAGTGAGAGGAGCAGAAAATCCCCGCGGAAGGTTACTCCGTTCGAGCGATTCTGCTCGAGCGATTGGTCGATCTCGACCGACTTTTAACACGCGCGAGCGAATCTCTTCGCGCTCGCGCGATAACGAAGATATATCCGTCCCCGTTCGTCCTTGAGAACTGACGTCTCTTCGGCCGTCAAGCTCCATTGAGGGTGTAAGTTTGCGCTGGCTTAACAAGGTTAATTTCTCCGGGATGGCCAGTAGGATGGAGCGTCGCGTGTCGGCGCTCCTGCGCTTGTAGAAATGTCAGTTCGTAAGGACGAACGGACATCAGAACGGCGAGGAATGACAACTTCCGTCAGCGCGATCCCGCGAACAGTAAACGTATCGCCAAATTTAAAAAAATTTCAAAATTTCAAAATTTAAACGTTCGCTTTTCACGAGTTTACGCTGGAGGGGGAGAAATGCGCGATCGTGTGAAAACCTCCTGCGGGGACCTCCCTCTTCCTACGACCGAGTCCTACCTCACCCCCGGCGGCGGAAAATTCACTCGCACCGACGATGTTCGTCTCTCCTGCGCGTGTTGAGCTCCCTCGCTTTGCTGCTTCTACGAGGAGTCGCACAGCCTCAACTTCGAGCGTGCTCGGGATATTTCGCGGACGATCCGCGCCCCTTCGCTGATGCTCCACGCGAGGTCGGCGCGAGCCTTCCATTCGACTCGGCATCCGCAGAAGGGATCGAAGTGGTTAGCTGAGCGAAAAAGTCGGTGCGGTTTCTGTTTGGATCCGATGCAACGAGCTATCGATTCTTGACGAGACTCGTCATAATAGCACAGATTTGCGTGAGTTAAGTGGTGAACTTTCCTCATGGCACGGTCTCCCTTGCTTCATGATCATTGATCCTTCTAAGGGCCGGTTGTGCCAACTCCTTGGAAAGTCAGCTGATAGTTAAATCATATGTCTGTCTTGGTCTAAATTGAAGGGAAAACAAAGATAAACATATGATCTAACTGTCAGTCAACTTATCAAGAACAACTGGCCCTAAGACGTCTGAGTCGAGTGTATGTTCGAGTTAATGTTCGCATCATGAAACCGAACTTGGCTGAAAAGCCGTCGCAGAAGCACGTCGCAAGACACGCGTAGTATTTGGAGAAGATGTGCCACAGGGAGAACGCGGACTGCGCAGAGGTGGTTTGAAGAATTTTCTTCTGGCGGCGAAGAGAGTCATCGATTATCTTTCTCTTCACAATTTCTGTCCTCGTTTAGTCTTTGGATGTAGAAAACCGCACGAACCTTCTCGGCTATTTAACACTACATGAGGCGTTACCTGATGACTGAGGCGGCGGTGGCGGCGGCGGCGGCGGCGGCGGCGGCGGCGGTGGCGGATGATGATGATGGTGGTGATGGTGATGATATCCTAGGGTGGGCGGCGGCGGCGGGTAAACCGCCCCCCAGATGCAGGAGGCCGCCGCGGCCGCGGCGGCCGCTTGCTGCTGGTGATGATGGTGATGATGGTGATGCTGCTGCTGATGTTGCTGCTGCTGCTGCTGCAGCAGCTGTTGCACTTGCGCAATGTCCACAAACTCCTGCAACTCACCTTCGGCCTCCGGCCTAGTCTCGCGCACTCGCCCCTCGGACGAGGGCACCACCGCGAACGGGTTGCCGCCACTGTTGTGCTGCAGGTGTTCGAACCCCGCGAGCGGATTCGCGGGCTCGTAATTGCTGCGCCCGGTCATGTGTTCACGGCGCATCGCGAGTGCCAGCATCTTTTCAACCTGTCCCGTCGCCGGCCGTCGTCGCGGTGTAGTCGAGCCACGTGCCGCTGCCCGTCCTCGCAGTCCTCGTCCTCGTCGCCGTCGATCGCGTCCTGCACGACGACGTGCACCTCAACTCGCATCAACTCGCGGCAACTCGCTGATCACCTGCGACGTCGAATGCGTGCGTGTCACGGCGTCACCGTCGCCGGCCGTGTCGCCCGCGGACATCCGTCTGTTTTCGCTGGCGCGGAGGTCGCCTCGTAAACAACGCGATGTCCGAGGAAGTCCTGCGGCGCGGAACGATTGACGGCTCGCGGCGTTTTCGCGCGCACCCCGTTCAAAACATCCCAGACTTGCGCGTCGGGGCTCGGCGCGGCGCGGAGGGGGGGGAGTTGATCACGTTGTAAACCGTTGTACAACTGCCGTCGTCGTCGTCGTCGTCGTCGTCGTCGTCGTCGTCACTTCCTTGGCAGCTTCAGGCGGAGACGACACGCGGATCTTGTGAAGCAGCGATTCTAGCGCGGCGGAGACGACAGAGGTGCTTCTTCGTCGAGAGCCTCGTCGTCGTTCAGAAGCGGTCCGGTCACCACGTTCCTCGTGGCGGGCTCCGCTGGCGATCCCACGTCGGGGAGGAAACGGCCTTTTCGAGAGCGGTCCCGCGGACGCGGCCGGCAAACACACGACGTAGGCCGGCGCTCGAGTGCCGGTCGTCGCGCACTGTATCTTCACCGGAGGACTTCACCGGGCTCTCTCTCTCTCTCTCTCTCTCTCTCTCTCTCTTCCTCGTACTCTTCGTGGTGTCCTCCTCGCAGCGCATCGACCTTCCGCCCGACTCTTTGACACGTCTCGGTGGCCGCGGCTCCTCGGTCCTCGGGTACCTCGCAGCTGGAGCACCACCTCCGGGACGGGGAGGGGTGGGTGACGGGGAGCGGGGAGGGAGGCCACGTTCTTCCTCCTTCGCGAGGCGCTCGTCCTCGAGCGCGCGCTATCCTGGCGCGCGCGCGCGCGCGCCGACTCCTATTATCGCGGCCGCTTAGCTTCTCACTCAGCACGCTCTGTCTCGCGTCGTCGGTCTCGTTGATCCGATGGCCAATGGCCAATGGCGAAGCGGGACGAGGCGAAGCGCCAAGCGTGGCAAGGCAAGGCAAGGCAAGGCAAGGCA